TGTCAGCACAAAGGGCCACCTGACGGGCACAGTCACTAATATAGACTGGGGGCCAGTACCGAGAGGACAGTAGCAGGTCTACGTGGTCTCGAGCCGTCTCGCCTCTCACCAAGTACTTAGAGCCAACACCACCTGGACACAGGTACGAAGAGAAATGGACAAGTAATGTAGAAAAACCCTTCCAAATCTTCACAAATACACCACAAACATTTGAGTTTCAATTGCTACTGTGCTTATATAACATGTTTTTTCCCCACATATAATTTATTTTTGCTACATTTTGCGGGAAAAATTGACAGACCATGATGGGCTGAATTTACGTGTTTGAAATGACTGGTTACATGAGTGACAGGGCTGCTGTTTTTACCTTGTGGGGGCAGAGCTGGGACAGCTTGCCACCGGTGAGGTGTGGAGGGGGCTGTGGGCCAGTGGCGAGGCCGCTGTGAACAAGTGTGTACAAGGAGATCAGGGAGGCCAGCAACTCGGTCTAACACGGAGGGAGGCAGAAAGGAGGCTTTTCTTTAAACACAGTCCCACACAGATATAAGCACACCACATTAAGCGGCAATAAGATAAACACAAACAGAGTGATACAAGGAAACAATCTCTCAACTAAATGTAAGCTCCCATCATAGCAAGCAAAGCAACTTGCTGAAATACCCTTGAGCAAGACTTTAAAGTCTCATCAGTCCCAGTGTGTGTGGGGTGGGGGGGTGGGGTGATCTCCTGTTCACATGGACACGTTTCTCACACGCGCACACACCTTAGTGGAGCCAGGGGTGATGCTTGCCCCGCAGCGGTCCAGTATTGTTCTCAGCTCGTCCTCACTGTGGTGTTCAATCTTGTCGAGTCTCAGGTCACCATCATGAATGAGACGCACCAGAACTGATGGATCTCCTAAAAGAGGTGATGATTTTTTATATATATATTTTAAAAATTTATATATATATTGTTTTTTTATAGTCCAGTAAAAGTGATACTAGTTATGTAACAATTATTAATACAGCTGCTTATACAAATCCCTAAATAATGCTGTACTGCATGGCAGAATAACTTAACACGTAGCACTAATACAGAATTAGTTGAATCTGGAACCTTTGCATGACATTTGCATCATTATACTACTTTTATCTAGCCAAAAAAGCATATAACCCTTCTGAATGTAATTATCTTTTTCCACTTCATTCTCTATGAAGCCACATCTGTGTAAAAGATAACATGTCATGGATAGAAACAAAACAACTTTCTCCCTTATTTCAGACACTACCGAACATTTCTACAGGACGGACGCAAAAAGATTAAATTAAATGGTAGTTTGAAAGACGTAGGTACCTGAGGGCTGCTGTGTGTGTGACAGGACTTTGTCCTTCTCCGTGTTGATAACAGTGGGACTCCTCATCAGTGGGGGAATGAAGGGAGCGATGATCGAAGCATCCACACGTGTGATAGGGATGTCAGTGGGGAAAGTCGCTTGCTCGATAGCCTCACTTTCCATGGTCAGCCAGAAGTCATCAACATGTACCTCATCCGAGACCGAAAACTCAGGCCAGGTAACTGTGGACAGAGTGAAATGTGTGAAAGAATGTGCAGAGGTCCCTAAAGTATGTAGCGTGCAGGTCCACATTCATATTCAACATGTTCACAAGATCTAAACATTTTTAGTTTCCCACCAATTGTATAAATGTTTCACCTCCACATTCTTTAGCTCCAGTACGTTGCTTGTGTGTCGCTCTGCAATCTCCAGTTTGGGAGCAATGCCACAAATGCCGCAGATCATGTCGTTGTAATCGCGCACTGTCAGACACTCAAAGGCCCAGTAGCCACTGAGGAGAAGCTCGTGAATTTGAGATAACTCCTCTGCACTCAGAGAGTGGACTTGGCAAAAGAAAATATGGAAAACACAGGGAAATTCATAGACAACATATTGTAAAATACAAACAAGATTGCAAATGTACATAATGCCAGAGAAAAAATTAAATAACACAGTTGCAGAATGCATGTTTGTTGAGTTCAATTCCAGGGTTTACCGGGGTGATTGGGGACGTGGTCTAGCATGGTCTTGGCTGCCTGAGAAGGGGTTTGACCCAGTCTGATGCTGGCTCTGATCTTCAGGAAAAGGTCAATACTGACCAGCAGTCTGTTCCCAATGTTGAACAAACCTATTAAAAACATTTTAATTCACAAAAGAAGCTGGCTACACACATTACCACAGTTAAATTATAAAAAAAAAATATCCTCAGGACAAGCGGTTTGTATGCACTTGACTTGTGACTGAGCACTCGTGTTACCATGAACACAGGAGCAAAATATTGTCAAACTGCGGTCTTCTGCCCACAAATAAAACAAAACAGTATGAAGAGCTCCAGTGAGTAGCTCCTTACAGTTTCTCACACTAAGCAACAGAACATTTCTGTTATTTTTGATATTTGAATATCATATTGCTGTGTCTGAAATATTTACACGTCACATTAAGTAGCTAAACATCAGAATAAAGTTGACATCTTAAAACATTAATTATTGGGCTGGTATTCATCAACATTCTCACAAAACATGTATAACATTTTGAAAAAAATAAATGTTGTATGTAATGCACACATAATTATTGATGCCCCCATTACGGCCAGTCAGTAATACACACAATTCCCAGAGGTACACCCAACACATGTACTACATAACAGCGGACAATAAACCACGGGTAAGGAAAAAGTAACTGAACAATCTGCAAGTTGTTGTAAGTAGTGCCCTTTACCTGGATGCAGGTCGGTGAAGCTGTGCAGAGCCAGACACTGAATGTTGAGACACACCTTCAGCTGGAGAGATGCTGTCTGGATCAGTGTCTCCGTAAGCAGCCAGCAGTCCTCTTGTCCTGCGACAGTACTAGGATGCACAAGCACAGACACATAAGAGCATTATGGGGACAGGACATTAGCACAACATGCCAGTGTTAATGCAGTTCAAGAAACATCACCTATCTTCTCACCTCTGACTTCCCTTGAACAAAGGGTAGTTACACAGGCCACAATGAGTAGCTGCCGATTCATAGAACTGAGGCCACCCAGACTCGACCAGGTACTCCGTCTCTACGCTGCCCCCGTGCTCCTGGTCTCCTGGTTGAACCAAGACGATCTGGAGACTGTTGAGCTCTTGGATGAGGGTCAACGTTTCCTGGAGCTCAGTCTCGCTCTCGGGAATCTGCAGGAAACGCTGCAGTAACTGCAGGGTATTTTGGCGCTGGATGTCCTTCTGAGCAGGACTCAGGGCCTGGTACGGATCGAGCAGAGTCCCAGACTGAGAAAGGAAACAAAATAAAAATAAGGAGAGCAACGAGAGGTTGGCTTTAGTAATCACTAAAGTGAATGGGATAGATTGTAACAGCAAATAATTCAGATGAGAAGGAGAAAAGGATTTATAAATAAATGAATTGCTCGGCAGCTAAGACAAACAAAACACACAAAAACAAAATTACATAAAGAGGGTGTTAAGGATGTTCTGAAATCAGTTCTGCTACCTTGAAAGCCTTGAAAAGAAAACTGCAAAGATAAATGACTTGACATCAAAGGTGACATCAAAGGCTGTCATCTGTCTGATGTCTACATTTACAAATGCTGAGAAGCAACTGCTCCAGGATCCCAAGGTTGTGCTAAGACTCACAAAGGGGGTCGAGGGGTAAGCGATGCAGCTGGAAACCTACAGTACTGTCACTTGAGAAGAATCTGGAGGAAGCGAGCTTTCACCTTTGATCCCTTGGTGTTCTTCTGGGTCAGCTCACAGCCACATTTAGGGCACACTGCAGGTTTGTGTCTGTTCTTGTACATATAGTCACAGGACAGATTCTTACACCGACCCCTTCCGCGCGCTGTAGACAGTCCCAAATCCTGAGAGAATAAAGAATTGCAAGAATTAACCCACAAATCAAGACATAAGGGAAATCCAGATATAAATGTACATTGCACAGAGAATAACAGTGTACTGACAAAGCTGGAAACGGTGTGCTGTTTGAAAGGGGCGACTGACAGGATGTTCACTCTCCCATCAGCCAGTGAAGACACAGGCTGACTACCATCTGCAGGGCCAGAAGAATCCTTCGGAAAGACATGCATCAAGTGAGGAATATTGGACCAGAGACCAAAAGTGTGTGTGTGTTTGTCTCTATGTGTGTGCGTGTGTTAACCTGCTTGGCAGTGGTTGTCGGGACCGTCTGTCCGAGCTGCTTTAAAGTGCTGGGTTTGAGACCCGAGAAACTCTCTTGAGGCACTGTGGTTAGAAAACAACCACATCAGTTGAGGGCAGAGACCTCAGAAAGTACAGTCACTTTTATTGACATATCACTTCCTCTCTTGTATAATAAAAGGTAGTCTGTATCTGCTAATAATAAGAACTGAATGAGCTTCGAATAAAACTTTAGCCAACCTACGAACTGAAAGACAACATTTAATAAAGTATAATTGTAATTAAAATATAACAATGTGCAGTACCAGTGAATGACTTATTGTTGTTTACACTCTGAAATTTTCCTTTGTCAGGTGGGACAGTTATGATCTGGAACACAGCACGGCCTAGAAACACAAACACAAGCCAATATGTAAATCCATATGGTAACAGAATACTGCCCGAGTGCTGTACACTTTATCCCACCTGTTCTATAGCAGGCAGGAAGGATGGGTCTCACAGGTCTCTTTCGAACAGCGGCACTGCTTCTGTGTTGACTTTGGACAGTTGAGCTCACAACACTGTGACAGAGGGAAAGTATGTCAAGTGAGATACACACTACTACCAAAACCTGCAACAAAAAACAGCTGCTATAACAACACACACACACACACACACACACACACACACACACACACGTGTCACTTCAATCTGGTCCCATCCATATTTTCAGGTTAACAAAATGTTTTCACCCAACGCTTTTATACAGTTGAAAAAAAAAAATCATAATACTAATTACTAAAAAGAAGGTCAATGTGTGTATGTACAGCAAATTATAATTAGAAACTCAGAAGATTTGTATTTATCACACAAATCGGATGCCCAAGGTATGTACAGTATCTCACAAAAGTGAGTACACCCTCACTTTTTGTACATATTTGATTATATCTTTTCATGTGACAACACTGAAGAAAAGATACTTTGCTACAATGTGAAGTAGTGAGAGTACAGTTTGTATAACAGTGTAAATTTGCTGTCCACTCGAAGTAAAACATCACACAGACATTAATGTCAAAACCGCTGGCAACAAAAGTGAGTACACTCTTAAGTGAAAATGTCCAAATTATGCCCAATTAGCCATTTTCCCTTCCCAGTGTCATGTGACTTGTTAGTGTTACAAGGTCTCAGGTGTGGTTATTTGGTTCAGATGGTGTCAAGCGTGTGTGGCGGTAACCTGGTGAGGAGTACAAAGACAAGTATGTCTTATCTGCAGTCAAGCATGGTGGTGGGAGTGTCATGGTCTGGGGCTGCATGAGTGCTGCCAGCACTGGGGAGCTACATACAGTTCATTAAGGGAACCATGAATGCCAACATGTACTGTGACATACTGAAGCAGAGCATAATCCCCTCCCTTCGGAGACTGGGCAGCAGGGCAGTTTTCCAACCCAACCACAACCACGCCTCTAAGACGGCCACTGCCTTGCTAAAGAAACTTAGGGTAAAGGTGATAGACTGGCCAAGTATGTCTCCAGACCTAAACCTGTAGACCTAATCTGTGGGGCATCCTCAGACGGATGGTGGAGGAGCGCAAGGTCTCTGACATCCAACATCTTCCTGATGTCGTCATGGAGGAGTGGAAGAGGACTCCAATGGCAACCTGTGAAGCTCTGGTGAACTTCACTGCCTTAACCCAAGAGGGTTAAGGCACTGCCTTAACCCAAGAGGGTTAAGGCAGTGCTGGAAAATAATAGTGGCCACACAAAATATTGACACTTTGGGCCCAATTTGGACATTTTCACTTAGGGGTGTACTCACTTTTGTTGCCAGCAGTTTAGACATTAATGGCAGTGTGATGTGTTATTTTGAGGGGACAGCAAATTTACACTGTTATACAAGCTGCACACTTACTACTTTATAATGTAGCAAAGTGTAATTTCTTCAGTGTTGTCACATGAAAAGATACAATCAAATATTTACAAAAAAGTCAGTGTGTACTCACTTTTGTGAAATACTGTAAATACCAATGAGCAAATGGTTCAAACCACAGTTTTAACTCAATCGTCACAGCCCACACAGATGGTCAACATACTACTGGGGTCCATGTAGCAAACAGAACATACTTAATTTTCGACACCAATCTCAGATTGTGCCATTAACACTTCATGGATGCTCACTTCGTTTGTTCTGGCTCCTTGGTACTGCTGCCCTCTGATGGCTTTCCAGCTGGAACTGCATGCTGCTTTCTGGAGCACCGTTGAACTCTGGCTTCTTTTTTGCTCCTAGTGGGGTTTGTTTTACTGCCCTCAGCCTTCCCCTCCTGAGCAGGGGGAGGAGTGGGTTGGCAGCTTTCGTTAGACTTGGTTCCAGCTTTCTGTGGCAACTTCTTGGACGCAGCTTCTTTCTCTTGTGTCTTCTTTGCCTAATATGTAAATGCAGCCAAAGTTAATCGACTTGAACTGAAGGTACAGCTGGAGGCTGAATCATTGTACTACTTCTGGGTGCCCATATAAGAGTGAACATGCCTAACTGTGCAGACATTGCTTGACACTTACAGCAGGTATCCATTTTCCGCCCAAGTGGCTCCCACATTCAGGGCACGTCGGTGGCTTGTGGCGGGTGACATACACAAATGAACATCCAGGCTTTAGACACTTCCCTCGACCTCTCCTGGTGTATGTCTTTACAGACTGCAAAAAAGAGCAAAACATGGAAGCTCATGTCTCCCAACTGATATTACCAACCCCAGTCATCATTACTTGAATCTGATATTCCATATGCTTGCCAATTTCACTACTGCCCTTTATAAGGTGGATGAATAATGTGGTTGCTTACCATTTTATATGAAGGTTTGGCACTTTGTTCTACTCTGGCTCCTACAGAGACCATCATTACTGAGCCCACAGAGCTGACACCCGCCAAAGACTTGGGCTCCAACAGGTTCTGAAGTGAGGGACATATCACCTCTCTGTATTAGCTAAAACACTTTTTTTCTGATTAAAATGAGGTATATAGATTGTTAACTTTTAAGTCCTAATAATCATTATCTAAATGAAGCTCATTCTACTAACTGGTAGAAGGAAATTTAAGTCTCACCTGGGTGGGTATGATAGCAACAATCTGTGTAGTTTCCCCCTGTATCTGCTGCACCATCGCCCCAGCATGACCACTACCAGCAACTCTCGTCTCATTTCCTTTCAGCATGACCCCATTTGCGGTAATGTCAGCAGAGCCCTGTGAGACATAGGCATCTGTGGAGGACGACACAAAGGAGGAAGACGAGGGTGGGATTCCTTGGGGGGACGTGGGATGAGACGCCCGTGCCGTTTCCTCTGCTGTGTCATCAACAACGATGGGGTGTTCGGAAAGTTCCACCTCACCGGCCAGCTCAAGAGGTGTGAACTGGGGTTCTTGGGTGAAAGAGACGGAAGACAGGCCTCCCTCCACTGGAGACTCCAGAGGCTCCACGCTCACCTCTGGTTGAGAGCCTCCCGGCTGGTGATTTGAGGGGCAGCCTTTAGCCAAGAGAAAGTAACTGGCTCTGGGGAGGATTTTGCGGAAGCCTGGCGGATGTTTGGAGGGGCTGAGAGACGACTGACAGAAAAGCATGATCGAGAAGATTGTTCATGGTTATCCATAGAAACATTTTGAGTTATGCTGTATTAGACACCAGTGGGGATAAAGCAGGAAAGCGCTACGTTAACTCTGCTTTAACTCCGTAACTCCGTACACAAAAGCAGTATTAATATTCTGACTATTGACAGCATTAGGAGCACCTTCACCTTTCCATCAGAACAGGCCAGTTTATTCTACATGAGGTAGTTTTGTTCTGAGTATCAGTGAAATTAAAGGCTCCATTGATACTCGGATACACACATTTTATTACATAAAAAAGATGAGGATGTATCTTACTGTGTCTACACCCTCCTTCTCAGACTTGGCCTTCTCCAGATAGTAGGCTTTCTCAGCTACACTGAGCCTTTTCCAGCTCTCACTGATACGTTTGTTGATCTCTGACTGTGGCAGATTAGGAATTTCCTGTTGCATAATCTGGTGAACATCAAAGTAGTATAGTAGGTAGGCAGACCTAAAACAGACAGATGCCACATCATTAATACATCACAATGAAAGAGACATTTTTGATTGTTAGAGGCTCAATCCCTGTTTAAGACAGGGCCTACTCGTGTTATTATATGGTAACAGCTGTATGAAAGTCCTTTTGGCTATGTACATTACCTAGACTTTTTAGGTTTCTCAACACTGTCTTCTTGAGCTTTGCTCTTCCTCTTTTTCGGGGTAGTCACCTCCATGTGTTTGTAGCAGTTCTCCACCTCCTCAGTCACTTTCACAACCTCAAACACCTCCACTTTCTCCATGATTTCCAAATATCTAGGGCCAATGGCAGAGATTAGTTTGGTGTTTTGAACTTTCATAAAAGGTAAAACTTTACTGCAGGGTATTTGTATTAGTTTTATTTAGTTACAGCTAATTAAGTTAGTTAGGTTTAACGGGTGAGAAAATTAGAAAATTAAGTGTATATTGCATACTGTGCTTTTCACCCCCTCAGCTGCTGAGAGCCAAACGCAGACATTTGTCTAATAAAAGAAACAGAATATAGAGCAGTGTGATATGGGCTGGTAACGTTAGTTCATGCAGAGAGAATATAGCAATACAGTCTGTGTTAGTCAAGATAAAATATCATGTAAACTTGTCATGCTTAGGGAGACTAATACAATGCTAACATGATAAAAACATTAACGTTAGTCCTTCCCTGCTTTAACAGTAGGTTTAATGGCGTGTGTTTATACTGCCTGAACAGTCCGAGAGTTATCCAATGAAATGCCTTCTTATTGAAGCCTTACCTACGATGGCCCGAGGCTCTACAAACTGCTCTGAACAACCTTTACGTCGCCGAAAAAGTCAAGCATTCTGCCAACGGCAAGTAATGCTGAGATTTGCCTATACTTCATATTAAATCCATTATTTGCGATGCATAAATGTCTGTAAAATAGCTTCGTTTCTCGTCGACTTGTAAAAAAACATGGCGGTTTGTTGCTATGGTCTTAAACCAATCAAATGTCGGAATAGACAAACACGGGCCAATCACGGAAGACGTTTTTGACACGTGGAAGTAACGCGTGCGTCCCACAGACAGTGCAGACTGTGGCCACAAGCAGGCGCAGTTTACACAGTTTGGTGACCCCAGAAGTGCTACATAAGTGGGATCAGTGGTTCCTTCACCCCCAACCGGCGAGGCAGATGGCCGCCCACCCTGAGCCATGGTTCTGCTCGAGGTTTCTGCCTCTTAAAAGGAAGTTTTTTCCTTGCCTCTGTCGCCTAGTGTTGCTCTTGGTGGGGATTGTTGGGCTTCTGTAAATAACATCATAGAGAACAGTCTAGACCTGCTCTTTTATGAAAAGCGCTGTGAGATAACTGTTGTGATTTGGCGCTATATAAATAAAATTGAATTGAATTGGTTATGTGGCATCAAACCATGTCCATAAAAATACTAAATAATTGAATGCTGCTCAATCCTTTTTAACTTTTTATTGAATACAGATGCACATTAGAGAGAACAAAATGTCTTGGCAGAGTGGGGAAAACGGCACAGTGCAGAGGAAACAGTAAGAAAGACAAAAGCAAGTTAAACATGATATACCAATGACAAATAAGGCAACAGAACATAAGTAGGAAGACATTAATTTACAGTCAACAGCTTTCTTCTTAAACCTACTGCTCACATACAGAAATAAGGCCTTTGTCCGTAAATTTACATATAAAAAGCAAGCAGATATAATTATAACATTGCTCAGGCATGCTTGTTTTCTATTTTCCCCTATAATACAGTGGTAACTAAAACATTAAATAAAAATCAGGCATAAACAGTATTCAAATTCGAAACAACGTGCCACAGCCTCAGTAACAATGACAAAAAAGATGAGACAGCAACAGCTTCAGGAAAGTGCACAGCAGTATGAACACAATACATTTCTATAATATAAATTGTTGTGTAGGCTAAGCTTATGGGACATCTACTATGTATTATTGGCAATGGGGTTTTGAGGCAACAGGCAAACCTTCTGCCACAGTGTATTAAAAAGGGGGTGTCATGTGGAGAAGAATTTCCTTCTGAAATAAGGATTTCAAAATGAGATATCACAATGACTGTCAACAGGGAAAAATAATAGCTTCCTTAAAAGGCTGACTCTCTTGAAGAATTCTGCTCAAAGTTTTTCTTGATATATTAGAACTGCGGCTGAAACACTGAACCAAACCGTCTCTGACTCTACTTCTACTGAGAAAGACTTTATTAACTGGTGAAGCCCTCGTTGCTGTCTTACAGTAAAGGTGAATGAGTACGCAAAGGTAAATAATACACTGTTACATTACAGCAATAGGCTAACGGTAGCAAAACAAGTACCCTCTGGGTTATATGTCTCGGTTTCCATGAGCTGTCTCCATTTATAACGTGTTTTTAACTACCACCAGCGCGCCGCATAGTTCCTGTAAGACAAAATTGAGGATCAAGCACCCGGCGCCTAGGCCCAGACCAAACAAATCGAGCTGGAGAAAAAAAAGTGTCTCAGGCTTTTGAGCCGAACACTGATCCCACCACTTAGCAAAAATGGCGAATGACAAGGTGAGTGGCTCGCTGTGCTCTGGCTATTAAATGCATTCATTTCATGTGTTTCGTCAGATGCCATCAGCTGCTACAGGAGGTTGAAAAAAATGTTTATCAGAAGCAGTTGGTTGTAAAATGAAGTTACCGGGGCGACGATCCCTTTTAATTTAAGATAATCGATTCTTCAGCTGGCTAAGTTATGTTGCTGTTAAGTTAACTTAACTAACCAGCAAAGTTGAAAAACCAGCGGGTTTTTTTTGCTAGAGAAGCACTCCGCGGGGAAAGTCTGTCAGTAACTGTACCTTTAGGATATGTTGTACAGCAACGATAGCTATCCTCAACTACATTAACGTTGGACATGTCACAGTGTTTCCTAATACAAATGTGATACTTTTCTTTCATTTTAGGATCCTCTGAAACAGTTGAAAGATCTGACGCAGCTCAAAAACCAGTTAGAGGAAATCCAGAGGCGAGTAGAGAGCGAGATTTCTGTGGGAATCCCTCAGGTAAGCAGTTATAGGTGCTCCTCGCAACTGAGCACAGGAGGAGAATAAGTTGTTGAAAGCGTATTCCTCTCGTCTTCAAATATTCGATGGTGAACGTTTCATGGCAATAATATGAACGGAGAAACATTTGCCCTTCATTCACCTTGTGTATTATTGAAGTTAGAATGCATTTGTCCACACTAAAGGTGACTCATATATATACTAAGAATCTATCTCAGTATATGCTCATTTAGATATCTTTGACTTTTTGTTTAGTTTTGTCTTAGGATTGCCTTAAATACCTTTTAACTCTTATTATTTTGTGTTGTATGCTGATACAGTAATATATTTTATCATGATAAATTTAGACTTTAAAGCTGTTCAGTTGTATTTACCCATCTGTATGTCCTTTTTCTGTGCTGGGACCCTGCTGAATATCCTGCTGTTATCTTGTAGGGAGGCTCAGTGTTGGGATCTCCATTTCTGAAGGGCTTTCTGGCCGGCTATATGGTGGCCAAGCTCCGCTCCTCTGCCATTGCAGGAGTGCTACTGGGAACAATCACTGGCATGTACGTGGCACAGAGCTATCAAGTGCCCAACATTGAAAGGACCGTGAGAGACTATCTGAACAACATGAAAAAGGGACCAAAGTAATTTGGGCTGGTGCTGGTCCTGGCATTGACATAACACGCACAAGAGGAAGAAATACTGCTGCAGCTGCTGGCTTGTCAGTGGCTCACAACAGATCAGCCTTCAAGTGTTCTGTGTAGACTGGACTATGCATATTATGATGTAACTGGAATTTCACTGGGGACTCAAAGACTTACTTTTATTTCCATTTTGTTTCAGGTTTGGTTAAATAATACTGTTTAATTTCCACTTGTATCAAGATGTAAGACCTTGTACCTACAAGGTTTTAATGTTTGGCCATCAGAATTCTTACTTGTCCCATTAGATTTTGAATCGCTTATGTGTAAAACATGCAGTAATTCCTGCAAATGTTTCCTACAGATTTAAATGTTCAGCTTATACCATATTATAGAGAGTTATACATAGAGTAGTGCATCTAAGTATTTTATAATTGAAAGTGTTGACATTTATAGCTGTTTAATTTAAAAATTATTATTCAGAATTGCTAGAAATCAAGTGTTTCATTTGCATCATTGAGGATGATTTTGATCCCGAATGTGGGACCCAGTTCCCCAGTGAGGATTAAGAGACAGTGGGTGAAAAGGATTCAGTGGGGTGTCCTCTTTGGGCTGATGGTCCTCATCTATGGCTCTCATGCACCACTCATCACTCTCACCAAGGTAGATGGTCAAGTCCCCTTCAACGCCTCCTCGTGTGTTGTCATGATTGAGTTAGCAAAACTCCTGATTTCCCTCGCAACTCTTGTTCTAACCGGGGGTACATCCGCCTTACATGCTCCTCCGCCTCTAGTCCTTGTGGCCCCCTATGCAGTCCCTGCCATACTCTACGCCCTGAACAACAACCTGGTAGTTCTCATGCAGGCCTACATGGATCCAAGCTCCTACCAGGTGCTTTCTAACCTGAAAATTGCCTCCACTGCCCTGCTGTACTCCCTCTGCTTGGGCAAGAGGCTCCGTCCTGCTCAGTGGTTAGGCGTGGGGCTCCTAATGGGCGCAGGCGTGTGCCACAGCTACAGCAGCCTGGATCTAGGGGACCCCGAGAGGTCTGAAGCCGAGGATGAACCCAGGCTTCACATCACAGCTTGGGGGCTTTTCCTTGTTCTGGTGTACTGCTGTATTTCAGGGCTGGCAGCAGTTTACACAGAGAGGGTGCTGAAGAGCCAGAAGCTGCCCCTCAGCTTGCAGAATCTCTACCTCTATGTATTTGGCGTGGCCATCAATGGGTTCTCCTCCTTCTCCTCTGTAGCAAGTGAAAAGAGCTTTCTGGAGGGATACTCAGGGGTGGTTTGGGCCATTATAGCGGGGCAGGCAGCTAACGGACTCCTGATGTCTGTGGTGCTCAAGCACGGAAGCGGGATCACCAGACTGTTTGTCATTTCCTGCTCCATTCTGGTTAATGCTCTGTTTTCTTGGGCCATCTTAGGGCTGCAGCTCACCCCTTTCTTCCTCCTCCCTGTTTCTATGATTGGACTGGCAGCTTACCTTTATTACAGATAGTAAAGTCTCCACTAAATGAACCACAAGGCACATTGAACCAAAAAACAATTAAGTACAGTCTACCTTTAGCTCCTGTTTCCTACTTTTTGAGCTTCAGATGTGATTTGTTTTCTGCCTTTTAATCCATCTGCCTTCTGACTTTGACATTCAGAATCCAGCACGTCAGCAGATGGTTAATTTGACAATTGACATCATTTTTACAATTGACTTTCATTTTAATGTCTGTTACACAATTGCGAGTACATTTAAATAATAATGCGTGTCCAGATTATTGTATCTTCAGTGAAAGATGAAGAGTGCTGCTATCTTGTTGATTTTGTTTTGTATTGCATTCTCTGCCAAGACAAATGTTCAACTATAATATCAAAGTGTTACAGTGTGTTAATGATAACCAATAAATTGTGGAAAACTGTTTTATTTCTCATGATTTACATTAAGCACACTGATTCAAACAGTGGTTTGCCCCCTTCCTGATTTCTTAGTTTTTTGCACATTTGTCGCACTGAAATGTGTCAGATTATCAAACAACTTTTAATATTAGACAAACATAACCTCAATACATACAAGATGCAGTTTTTAAAAGATTGTTTCATTTAATAGGGGAAAAAGCTATCCAAACCTAACTGGCCCTATGTGAAAAAGTAATGGCCCCCCTTGTTAAATCATGTGATTAACCAGATTTTTTGGAAAGTTGAGTTCAATTTCACTAGCCACACCCAGGCCTACTTATTGCCAAACCTATTGTATCAATAAATCACCTAAATATAACCGTTCTGATTAAGTGAAGTAGGCAAAAATATCTCAAAAAGCAACACATCATCCCACAAACTAAAGAAATTCAAGAACAAATGAGAAACAAAGTCGTTGACATCTATCAGTCTAGGAAGGGTTACAAAGCCATTTCTAAGGCTTTGAGACTCCAGCTAACCATGGTGAGAGCCATGATCCACAAATGGAGAAAACATCTAAAGAACTGCAGGCCTTACTTGCCTCAGTTAAGGTCAGAGTCCATGATTCAACAATAAGAAAGACACTGGGCAAAAATGTTCTGCATGGCAGAATTCCAAGACGAAAACCACTGCTGACCAAAAGGAACACAAAGGTTTGTCTAACGTTTGCCAAAAAACATCTTAATGATCCCCAAGACTTTTAGGAAAATATTTTGTGGACTGACGAGACAAAAGTTGAACTTTTTGGAAGGGGTGCGTCACGTTAAATCTGGCGTAAAACCAACACAGCATAAAATAAAAAGTATCATACTAACAGTCAAACATGGTGGTGGTAGTGTGATGGTCTGGGGCCGCTTTGCTGCTTCATGACCATGGACGACTTGCCGTAATTGATGGAATAATGAATTCTGCTGTCTACCAGAAAATCCTGAAGGAGAATGTCCAGCCATCAGTTCATGACCTCAAGTTCAAGTGCACGGTTATGCAGCAGGACAGTTATCTGAAACGCAAGCAAGTCCACATCTGAATGGCTCAGAAAAAACAAAATTAAGCTTTTAGAGTGGCCTAGTCGAAGTCCTGACTTAAATCCAACTGAGATGCTGTGGCATGACCTTAAACAGGCTGTTCATGCTCGAAAACCAACCAGTGTGGCTGAATTAATACAATTCTACAAAGAAGAGTGGGCCAAAATTCCTCCATAGTGCTGTGAAAGACTCATTGCCAATTATCGCAAACTTTTGATTGCAGTTGTTGCTGCCAAGGGTGGCACAACCAGTTATTAGGTTTAGGGGGCAATCCCTTTTTCACATAGGGCCAGGTAGGTTTGGATAGTTTTTTCCCCCTTATTAAATAAAATCACCTTTAAAAACTGCATTTTGTATTTACTCGGGTTAAGTTTGTCTAATATTAAAAGTTGTTTGATGATCTGAAACAATTCAGTGTGACAAATGTGCAAAAAACTAAGAAATCAGGAAGGGGGCAAACACTCACACCACTGTATATTCATTGTTTCTGGGTTAACATTTCAGCCTTAGGATCACCTCGCACAGCTAGAGTATCCTTTAACTCTCCCAGTGCTGCAAAAGAAAATGAAGAACTTTTAAATGCTGTTGGGAAGAGCACATTTTACTTCATGCGGTTAGGATTAGGTAAATTCTATCTGTAATATAACAGCCAGTCTGGTAGAGGTTAAAGAACACACTGACCTTTACGGAGTTGTTTGTTGTCAGCCTGCAGCTGCTGGTTCTGGGCTGACAGGTAGACGGCATCCTGCACAGCCTCCAGCAGCACGCTTCTGTATCTGCCCTCTGACATCTTCCGCTGCTCCTCGCTTACCTGACGAAACACTCGGAACACCTGGAGAGCAGTAAAACAGATAACACAGAAAACAAACTGATGGTTAAACAGTAAAATGTCTTGTTTGATTTTATGTTTGTGTGCTGCTATTATTTTTTTTGCAGGCATCTGTTAAAAATACTTATTTTCCCTGATCTTTTGTAGAATCCTGCTATGTGTCCCCGATATCCAGTGTTAATCTGCAAAATCCTGTTAATTCAGGATTTTTTTTGTTGCATTTGTTGTTTTTACATTTTTAGATTTCATTTTTGGGAAAGAAAAAGGTTAAAGTGTGATTCTTAAGTGCTGGCTGCAGTGCCACCACCCGGTTTTACAAAATATGGACCCAAAATGCCCTCCCTCAAGCAGAGAATCCGCCAATAGCAGGCCCCCAGGGGTGACGTGTCAGTGAGCAATTACACACATGCACACATTGTCATAATTAATACTCATCGTCATTGTATCCAACAATACATGCTTCAATAATCGATTAATATATGCTATATATTATACGAATATTACAATTACATAATGTTGTATGTATGTAATACAAGACACATTGTATATTTTGTAATTGATATACATGTTATACAATTAATGTGAACCTGAGGAATAATCATGCTAATGTATCATGCGCATCTTGTATATTTTATCAACTTATTATCATGCATTTCTAAAACATGGAAAGTATGTAGCTGCTACCTCTGCTGATCACTCCTAATTGACAAAATTATATTCAGGTGTTTTGAAAAGCACAGATAACTAAAAGAGAGAAGTAAAAGTAGTAGCAAACTAATTAAATAAATTCTCTCACTGATCCAACAGTCCCCCACCTGCAGGCTCTCTTCTCTTAGACAATGCAGCTCTGTTTGGTGTCTGTAATACTGATCCTGCAGGTCTCTCTCAGCCTGCTGGGCCTCAGCGCGCAGGGCCTCTATCTGCAGCACAAGGACCTGCCGCTCTCTGGTCAGCACCAGCAGCTCTCTCTGGGAGCCCTCTGTCTAACGGTTGAATGGATTAAGGCATAAAAAAATGAGAGGAAATAACAGAATGAAGTTGCAAATGCAGGGATTTCCACAACCCACCATAAATCCATTGCATTAATTTAAACTGACTCAGCATCCTCAGCTAAGATAGATCACAAACTGAATAATGTTAAACAGCAGCGTATCTCATTAACTCACTGGTAGCGGTTCCAGTGCCAAGTCCCTCTCCATCTTCTCCACCTCCTCCTGAATTAATTTCCCGTGGTCGTCCTTAAGTTGCCTCCTCCGCTCCTGTGCTTTGCTGTATTCCAACTGAGACTGAGCATTAAATTGGCATAATAAATGTCTTAGTGTGACTTGCCCACTCTCACACACATAAAGCATTTTTATATGTTTAGTAGGGTATTCACAAAGCCTTGTAAACAGGTTATCCAATCATACGTTGGAGTGTACAATATTACATTTAAAATGACGGGAGTTAGATGGCATGCATTACTTCCTGACAGAGGTCAGATTTCTCTGTAGCAGCCCCGTTCTTCAGTGTCTCCTCTCTGAGCCTCCCTCAGCTGCTGGATTCTTGCTACTCTTTCATGGACTTTCTCAACTTTCCCTTTCCCCTCTGTGGATATGAGAAACACAAACAATGTGACTGATGTTGCTATGTATAAAAGTTTCATATCGCATGAAATTACCTCTGATGTGTTCCTCCATTTC